CTGCCTGATGACTGAGACACTGTTTTATGATCGTTTAGAGAACTTAAACTCCATTCATGGTGGAGGGATACATGCAGGGCACTGTGAGGCAAAATAGTCCCCAAAGAAAACGTATTATTTCAGATTTTCCACTATTTTCCATCATCAACATTCCATATAAACTCAGAAGACTCGTGTAGGTTCACTGGTGGTTCTGGATAGTAAATAAAATGTCTATATCTGTGTTGTAGTCATGGCGACCCCTGGTTCCTATCACCACCACTGTAAAGACATCTGAACCATTTCACACCAAACCACTCTGAACCTCTCTGATTACAGCTACAGGGGAAATTTAGAAAATTTGGTTTAATTCCTCTTTCCTTCCTCAGGCATGCTTCATGAACCGTGTCCCGTCTCACTAACTCCAATCAAAGGCCTTCAGTCTGTCACACAGACGGCGTTGCTAGGAGACCAGACAGCTCCAGACGCCGTGTGGCGCGTCTCCGGCTCTCCACGGCCGGACTGATAGAGCTCAGTGCTCACCGCAGCACATCTGCAACAGCTGCGTGGCTGTTCCACTCGTGCATCCTCTCTGCACCTCACAGTCACTCTCCTCACCATTAGCATTTAAATTAGCCTACAGTTTACCCAGAAAATGTTACAGTGCAAAACTAAACCTCTCTAATGCCATGTCACTTTCACTTAGCTCTGATCGAGCTATCCCAGCGGCTGCAGCTGTCTGAGCGTGCTGCTTTTATTTAGCGCTGTTCACCACTGATTGGGGTTAGCTAGGCTAAATTAACCACTGTGTTGGACTTAGCTAAAAGGTTTGACAGAATGCCACTGCAGATAACTACACTAATGACCATTTACCGGTTTGAGAGTTTTTAGCTAACGATATGCTACAATATCTAACTGCACTATCTTAGCTAACAACACTTACTTTACCAGTGTGACTTTTTAGCTAATGCTACTATATCTACAGATAAGGCTAACTCAGCAGCTGTTTTCTGGCTAATGCTAAAGCGTCAGATCTTCAAGGCTCTAAAGCTACACTGTACAGAAGAGGGCGTGATGTAGTTTTGGTCCAGCAGGTCACGTTAGCACAGTTTATCTTTCATTATCAGTGTTCTACTGCCTGAAATAAAGCAACCTGTTAGCTGCTTAGCTAACCAGCTGCATTTGTTCCTGATTTAACTTTACTTACACACTTTAACGTTAATGTTTATTACGATCTACACAAAAATATCACATGCTATATTTAGTGTAGTAAAATGACAGAACAGTCTTTCACACTTTATTTATTTATTTAATGAACAAACCATGACATTTAAATACTTGCTAACAGGCTATAGCTAACAGGCTAACCAGGCCCATTCTGAGCTATTCTGACTTTAAACGTAAGTCTTTACTGAAAGGATCAGATGTTATGTTACTGAAATGTTACTGAATGTCTATTCAGTCGTCAGCTAACTGTATTTTAGCTACAGCTGCTATGAATTTCTTAGGTGAACCACAGTTAGCTTAGCGCTAACAATACTAGTGGAATTAGCACTTATGCTAGCAGTGTTAATGGCGTGAAGAAAGGCTTTATTCTATTAAACACTGCTGTGTGTGGCTGACGCACGGCTGTCTCTGCTCTCAGTGTATGAGATGAGAAACCTAATGAAATAATTAGAATATTCATTCTTAAACATGACAGAATGGCTGAGCTCAGCACAGCAGACGAGCCGCACCGCCGATCTTCTTGGTATTTTGTTGTTGTGAACAGTTTTAGCATCCGTGTCAGACGTAATTGAGTCATCAGTGTCCCAGCGTTCCCTCCGGGGGCCGAGCCAGCGCCCGATTTCAGATTGACTCTGTACTGATTCACTACATACAGAACTAGAGAGAATCAACACAGCCGAGGAAAAACAACACAGATTCGGCCTGTGGGCATCCACCTCCGCAGCAGTGAGGTCAGAGAGTAGGCGGAGTTTCCAGCTGACCTTTACATACTATTAAAGCTTCACTGAGAGGGAGAGTCGATAAAGTCTTTCAACCAATCAATGAGCCGGATTAGTCAACACTGGAACAGTCAGACCACACAGCAGTTTAACACCTCCAGACTATCTGAGAGGAAAAATCTCCATCAGCTATTAAAATGATAAAACATACATAAAATACTTAATTTATAACTACAAAAATAACAACCAATTTCCAAAATCCCCTTATTAGTTGTGTGAGGTGTAATCAGAGAGATTCAGAGTGGTTTGGTGTGAAATGGTTCAGATGTCTTCACAGTGGTGGTGATAGGAACCAGGGGTCGCCATGACTACAACACAGATATAGACATTTTATTTACTATCCAGAACCACCAGTGAACCTACACGAGTCTTCTGAGTTTATATGGAATGTTGATGATGGAAAATAGTGGAAAATCTGAAATAATAAGTTTTCTTTGGGGACTATTTTGCCTCACAGCGCCCTGCATGTATCCCTCCACCATGAATGGAGTTTAAGTTCTCCAAACTATCATAAAACAGTGTCTCAGTCATCAGGCAGTGAATTCATAACCATTTCATGTAGGAACTTTCTGTGAGGGAGCTTTTAGAGGTGGACGTCTGGTTCCTATCACCACCACTGTGAACAGTTCTGACTCTGTAAGTTAATCCAGAACAGAGCGTTTCACACCAAACCACTCTGAACCACTTTCACCATTTGATCATGGACCAGTGGAAATCCCCTTTATTAATTTATTGAAAATATGTGCAGTAATCAAGACATAAAATATGCAGTAAAATACAAACCGCTGTAAATAATTTTATATATTTACATGATAAATGTCAGTAATGTGTGCTTAACAGCTGCGCCACAAAGCTCAGTTCACACACAGCAGCTCTGCTCATTAATCGAAATGTAGATCATCACAGCTGCAGCTCAATAGTATGGAACAGGAAACTCTACATACACTTTCATCCTCTCTGCTACAAGGAAACACCACAATAATCAGATCGGAAACAAAACCACACCATTCTGCAGAAGAAGAACGTCATCCAATCAGCTACAAGTCTGTCTAAATAACAACAACCCAACATACAGAACCGTCTGAACACCATCTA